GCCCAGGACTGGCCCCTCATGGCAGGCAGCCCACCTGAGGGAGAGCCTGCCTGGCCACCGCTGTTAGCCTCACGCTGATGCCTTTTGCGGACACATGGTTGGTACCCTGTGAGGTGGGGAGCGGGAGCTTCCTCACTCAGAGACAGAACAAGCCTCTGAATCTGTGGTGGGAGCTGTGCTGTGACCAGGGTGTCATCCTTTCTCTATGTAAATCTCGTGCTCAGCCCTGTGTCCCTGCTCCTGAGCACAGGCGGCAGCCAGGCCACCTCAAGTGCGGAGGCCTCCAGGTCCAGAGGGTGACGCTGTGGCCTGGTGCCAAAGGGGGTGTCTCGGGCGTGGCGTTCACCCGGTTCTGGTCACGGGCTCCCACTGGGCAGGCCTCCCAGCCCCCTGAGCCCTGTAGGGGGAGCAGTGTGGCCCCCGAGGGTCCTGAAGGCTGGGGCCGGAATGCAGTGAGTGCCAGGGCAGGGGAGCTGAGGTCTGTGGCCTAGGCCCCCTGTGCCAGGCTGGGTTTCAGGCTTCCAGCAGTCGGGAAAAAGAATGGTTCCACCCCACGGCCCCCGCAGTGGAGCTCAGGGCCCACGTTTCCTGCTGTTCCGAGCCCAGCGGGTCACCTGCCGGCAGACTCTCGGGCGGCACCTCTGCCCAGGAGGCCCAGGCTGGGGCTTGGGTCTCACACTCCCTGGTGTGACTGCAGGGTAACCTCACCACTCTGAGTCTCACCTGCCCTGCCTCTGAAACAGGACCAATGGGACCCACCTCATGGTGAGAGAAGGTAGACGGAAGGCATTTGGCAGCTGGTCGGTGCAGGAGGTCAGAGGAGGGAATCTCCCAGCAAACAAGGCAGAGCTAACCTGCCTTTAGCTTCCAGAGACCGAGGGCAGCCCAGGTTGGGGCAAGGCCGGGGCTCCCAGAGGGTCCCCAGTGCTTCCTGGGCTGGTGTGCTGTCTCCTGGTGCCACGTCCCCGGTGCAGCAGCCACCCTAGCAGAGATGCTGCCATCACAACTCCTGTCCTGTTCGCCACACTGCTTGCTCAGGGGAGGTAGACGAATGCCTTGAGCGGCTGGGTTCCTTGTGGCGCCCCAGGAGTTGGTTGGGGTGCTCAGGCTCCACATCCCGACTGTGCCCTTGCCAGCAGGGTGGCCATGGCTAGGACGCTGAACTCAGCAACACCTGCGGATGTTTATAAACAGATGGCCACAGCACAAGTGTGCTGAGACCCTTGGGTGGGGCTGAGGACCTGGGGTTTCAAGCTTCCTGGTGACTGTGAAGGTGGCCGGGGCCGGGACCCATCTTAACTGTAGTCTCACTGTCTGGTGGGAGACCGTGGTGTTTGATCGTGTGGGGCTTCAAAGGCTGTGGCTTCCACGAGATGCGCAGTTTCTCTCACACAGTAAAGTCGCAGCTGGAAGGCAGTGGGGCTCTGTGAGGACATCCCGGAGCCGGGATTCTGTCTCATGGTGCCCTGCCAGCCTCAGGGTGTTGCCCTCTGTGGTCACCCCCAGCTGAGCGGCCATGAGAACAGTGGAGGACAAGCAGTATCCTTTAAGAGCACATCTAGAATCTGCTCCTGTTATATCCACTCACCTCCTATTGGCTGTAGTTAGTCTCCTGGGCTCACCTGGCTGCAAGGAGGGCTGGGAAATGTAGTCTTTAGTTGGGTGCCCACTTAAGTCTGGGAGAAGGGGTGAAGACAGTCCACAACCCCACTTTCCTTGTGGGCTTGGTGAGGGATGTGCGGAGATGGTGTGTGCTCACCATCAGCTGTGGTGGGGGTGCTTAGGGCAGGCAGCCTCGCGTGCAGGATCTTAACCTTTTGGAGTCCTAGACTCTTGACAAGCTGTTGAGAGCAATGGCCTGATCTCCCCATCCGCGTGCTTCCCAGGGTTTCGTATTTGGTAGCAGTGACAGAGCCTCTTCCTTAGTGGACAGCTGCCTTAGGGCCCCCTACTCAGTGTGCCCACCTGGGGGCCGTGGTGACTTGCGGCTGCTGTCTGGTCACACTCACAGCTCCCAATAGGACCCTGCAGCTTGTGCAGGACCTGATCCTTGGGCGCCTGCTTGCTCTCCTCGTTTCCACCTTGCTGCTTCCATCTCTCTGCTCCTTGTGGGCTTGCATTCCTGCAGGCCAGGGCCTGTCTCCTTTGCCTCTGTGCTGTCCTTCCCCCCACCTGGCTGAGGCCTGCTAAGACCTAGCTCATGGGAACCTTTCTGACTTCCCTTCCTTCACTGAATATGCTGTTTTGATGGACATGTCAAAAGCTTCAGTTTTCTAGTAGCTTTAAAATAATGAGAACTAGTGTGAGATCATTAGTGAAGCAGGCAGGCCTCATGTTCTTAGAGTCCAAGGGCCACTCCGTCGTGGCCTTGCTACAGATGTCTGTCCTGTTCTGAGTTACAGGGTCATGTGGTCACGGGGCTGGCCCTGGGCAGGACCCATGCCCACTCTTGCTCCTCAGTCCAAGTCCAGGGGAGGTGCTCTGCAGATACAGTTGGGTGTCAGCTGGAGACGCTCTGGCCCCCCTCCTCCATCCATGCACCCATGCCAACAGTCAGTCCCTTGTCTTTCAGAACGCCCAGTGCATTCCGGAAGGCTTGGAGAGCTACTATGCAGAGCAAGACTCCAATGCCCGGGAGAAGTTTTACACGGTCATCAACCACTACAACCTGGCCAAGCAGAGCATCACGCGCTCCGTATCGCCGTGGATGTCAGTGCTGTCGGAAGAGAAGCTGTCAGAGCAGGAGACCGAAGCCGCTGAGAAAGCAGCCTAGTGAGATGGGCAAGGTCCTTACAGTGTATCACTTGAAGGTAACAAAGGGACTCTGAGGGACATTTCATTAAATCTAATTACTGATAATTTAGAGGTTACTCATTTATGGTGCAACTTGCTTCTATTGGCTAATACTGCTTTGCAAATAAAACTTGCTGCAGACCACCCATGGGCATAAAGCCCAGTGCATCTCAGCATTGCTTAAAGAGCTGTGACGCCACTTGTCATGTTAAGGAATCTTGATTTAGCTGCTTACTGGGATTTACTGGATGTTGTCAAAGAATAAATTCACACTGGATATGCAAGGGGGTTGGACTTCAAATAATGCATTTTGTGGAATTGATTTTTTTAGACCACCTTGCTGTTACGAGCCTTATTCCACAGCCATACCTAGAGTGATCCCTGCTTTGCTAAGAGCAAGCCCCACCTCCCATTTGCTCCCTCCTCCCATCAGACGGCAACAGTGCTGAGGGCCAAGATGCACTGGAATGAGTGCTGGCAGCAGGCAGAGGCGCCTTCTCCTTTCCCATGCTCATGCTGAACCACTAAGTGCTACAGGACACGTGGTTCCCCAGCCTTGGCACCTTGGTGTGCAGGGCACCAGGTAGAGAAGGCCAGGTGTTGCTCTAGTGCACCTAAGACTGTGAAAGCATGTGAGGTGAGGGGACTCTGGGAAAGGCAGACCCTGGGCCACAGGCTGCAGAACTCCGTCTCCCTGTAGGTAGTCGACTGCTCTGTGATATGTTGCATAGAAAAGAAACCCCACTGGCCCTTTTATTCACTCCTATTATGAAAAAGTTCGCACTGACAGCCCTATTGGCAAGTTAGTTTTTAAAACATTCACTGGGCGGGACAAGTGAAGGTGTGACTGCTGGTAAGCCAGGGCTACTTTAGTTTTGATATTGTGCAAAGACCTCATCTGATGTAAGCAGCAGGCAGGCAAGGCTGGGAGGGGGCTCGCATGGCACCTGCCGATCTGATCATGACATTTCAATTCACAGTCTTGTAAGAAAATTGTTTCAACCTGAATCTTGACATTAAAGTGTGTTCAAAAAATTGCCAGTTAGATAAACTAAGTGTGTAAGACAATTAAATAGAAAAACATTCAGACATTTTCTTCCATGTTCCTTCAATGTGCTGTTTCTGGTGGACTTGTCAAGTTTCACTGGTTTTCAGTAGATCAAAAAAAAATGACAAATAGTGTACGATCTGCTGCAAACAAGCATGGTCATGGCCAACTCCATTACTGTTTCCTGAAATGTGCTTCCAAGACAAGCTATATTTTATTATAAAGAGTGTTTGGAAACCTTGACATCAGACAGTGGGTGTGTGTCACATGGCTGTTGGGAGGCTGGGACGCAACCGAGCAATAACTGCGTGCCAAACTGCCCTGCAGGTAAATACAGAAACCAACTCAAGCCCATGTAAACATGTAAACACAGTGCCTAGGCACCCAACCTGTATTTTCTGGTAGACATGTACTTTATTGACTGTAAACTCATTCACATGTAACTTTTGACATTTTCACTCTGCAAATAAAGAACACAAGGATCCCTGTGGCTGCCCGGTGAACTGTCTGTAGAGCACCTGCATTGTGCAAGGAGCAGTGCAGAGCCATCGGCAACCCGTGCCCTGGTGGGGCCCACGGACATCAGGATGCTTTCTGCACAGACAGGGCCACAGAAGTCTCATGCTTCCAGTGACGAGTAGGCGTTCCTGCCTGCACATCCCACAGGGTCAGCAGCAGAGGCCCAAGAGCAGTAGCATCTGTTTCTCCTCTTAACAAAAATTCCTGGGGCCCCCTGCCCACCCGCCAGGAAAGGGTTCTGGGAGAAGCAGGCCGGGCGGCCCCTTGCTGATGACCCCAGAGTCCATCCCCACACTGCTCCCCCAACAGGAAGCAGGCAGGCATCCACTGAATTGCTATACTTGGACCCACTGGCCAATGTGAAGTGGCTATAATTGCATTTGTTAGATTAAAAGGGCGAAGGTGAGTTTTCTTTTCTACAATACAGTGACTCTGATAGTATCAGTCGGCTCAGGCAGACAAGAAGCCACAGGAAACAAAGAAATGATCATTTGTTGTGAGAAGTTATCGCTAGGCAGCACGCGTCGCAGCCGCCAGAGGGAAGGTCGGTGCCCGGCTCTGACCCCCTCAGCACGGGCAGCTCCCAGTTCACACGCAGCCCCTCCCATCCCAGCCATCTGCCTCAGGACTGTCACACAGACCACCTTCCATTTGTGTTTTATTTTTCAGACACTAATTGGGCTTAAAACCACAGGTCTGGGTGCCCCTTTTGTCAGTCCCCCCACCCCATGGCTCTGCGGTAAATTCCAGTGGCAGCCGCGTCCCGGTGCTGGAGCCCACGCTTGCCAGGAGAGGTGGGCAGCCTAGCTGTCGTACCAGTCGAGGAACAGCAAGGAGAAGGAGCACATCACCAGGAAGAAGAGGACCCACACTCGGAAGCCGGCGTTGTTCTTGATGGCCTGGGGTTGGGGGAGCACGGGTGCGCGTGTCACACAGGGTCTGCACACCCCCCCTGCCGGCCGGAGCTGTACTGCTGGGTCCTCAGCTTACCTTGAGTAGATGACTTGATTATTAAGCCAGAAAGAGGGTTTAGAATTCACCACAAGAGGGTTGTGTTTCCCTCACTGGTCAGCCCTTGAGGTCGGGCACCATTACCCCGGAAGCACCCCGGGAGGCCCGCATCTGTCCGGGGTTAAACCACGCCTGCTGGCTTGGGGCCCAGCCAGGCAATGGCAGAGGTGGCCCAGGAATGGTCCCATGTCCACCCAAACTCAAGGACCACGCTGAAGGGAAGTCCACTACACAGAGTCGACTGTAGTGGCCTCCGTGAACAGCGACCAGGGCTCCAGCCCTCGGGAGGGGCCCGACCAACTTGTCCAGTGGTGCCGGCCCTGGATTCTGGGGCTGGGCCTGCCCCTTGCTGATGGCGACCCCACTCACCCCGTATTGCTCCTTCAGAGGCAGTGAGTCACTGCTCAGTAACAGTGGGGCCAAGGGCTTGGCAGGGATGGAGTGCGACTGTCCAGTGCACAGCTGGACGTGGGCTCCACCCGGCAAGGCACCCGGGCAGCCCCCCAGTGAGGTGAATGCCGCTGCCGAAGCCAGTGCCTCACCGGATGAGACCAGGGCCTAGGCAGTACCCACCTCTCTGATGTCTTCATTGCCCTCCTTGATATTCTCAGTTGCTCCCACAACTAACTGGTGAATGCTATCAATGTCAGCTTCCTGCGGAGGGAAAGAGTGCAGATGAACACAGCCACCCCCTCCTTCCCCGCGTGTGCATCACGGTAACAGGGGCTGCCACCTACTAAGGGCCAGAGGCTGCACACGTATGAATCCATGAGCCCTCAGAGCACCCTGAGAGGCAGGCAGCACTATTTTATAAAAGGGAAACGTAAGGCTCAGAAGTTGAACAACTTGCCCAAAGTCATACAGCAACCAAGCGGCAGGACTAAGACTGGACCCCAGTGCCAATGCCCCTCCCACCTGCAGCCACTGCCTCTCCTGAGCCACTTGCCAGCAATAAGGGCCAAACACTGGGGGCCACTGGCTACAGGGCAGCCACCGCATGCCAGGGGCTTTCCCTCCGGCCTCTCAGTTATTTATAAAGTCCAGAGAAGCTAGCTTCAAAACGCATGTGCTTTAAAACACGTATGCTGGCTTCAAAAAAGTGCTCTGCATTTTATCACCACACCTCTAAAAGAAAAAAGAGTCTAAAATTTAAAAATCAAAACGGAGTGCAAGATATTTGCAAAAAGTGTTTAGTCCAAATACATGGAGACTTAAGAAAGATGTGATCCTGGTCTTGTACATGGAACATCTAGCTAATAAGCACCAACCACTCCAGGCAATGAACAATGCAGACTGGTCTAGGAGTGGGGGGCTCCCTCCTAGGCGGGCGGATGTGGGGCGGGGAGGGCAGTGCAGCCCAGAGGGGGCTTTGAGAGAAACCTGAAAGAGTACTGCAGAGAGAAAAGCAACCTTTAGCCATCTGATTCCCAGCCAGGATGTCACACAGTCTAAGGTCGGGGCTGGGGACTGGCTTGGCTATGTGATCATGTTTTCGAAACTCGCCCTGGGAGCTCACTGACACTGGCTGTGCTCCCATGAAGTAAGTCAATGCGAACAACTTGGCACATGCATGAAAACAACAGGATAGACCCAACTTTTCTCAGGTCTTGGAAATGCCCAGGAAGCCAGGCACTGCTCCTGTGCACCCCTCCCCAGGTGGCACGCTGGGGAAGTGAGGCAGGGCAGTGGTGTGGGCACTGGTTTTCCATCTACTCGGGCACATGTCCAGAACTGGAATAGCTGCTTCCCAACTGAGAACGAACCTCCTAACCAAAACCCAGTTGTCAGCAGCAATCAGCACTTCTCGGTATCCAGGGTGAGCGCAGGAGCATAAGCGATTGGCTGGAGAAGGTGAATGTTACTGCTCCTCGGCCAGCCAGAACCTCATGGCATTGCCTTGCACGCAGTAGTCTCCTTTGCCAGTGGCTGCGCTGTGCTAGTGAAATAGTACACAACCCAGGCGTGTCACAGTCACACCTAGAAGTGACAGTCCCCACATACTGAGAGCCCACCAGGAGCCTGGAGTGTGTCAGGCACTTGCTATTCACCAGCTCTGAGAGTGACATCTGCCCCACTGGGCACAAGGGAAGGAGGCCAGGTCATGTGATGCGTGATGGGAGGCCCCATTAAGAGCCAGACTGACCCCTGCCACCTGGCCTCTGAGCCAGTTTCCCGTGCTGAGCTGCTCCGAGCAGGAGCCTGGGGCTCTGCTGTTGTGTGTCGGGTGGCTGAACTGATGGCCCGCAGGCTTCTCAGCGAGGCTTGGCATACATGTCCCCGAACAGTTCCTTCAACGTGCTTCCAAACCCGAACTTCCAAACTGTTTCAGCCTGAGGGCTCCCGACAGTGAGGCGACAAGTGGGGGAGCTTTGTGGGTTGAGTATTTTAAGCCAACTAGCCAAGTTTAGCACAGTGGAGAAAAATGATTCTGTCTTTTCAAATCCTCCACAGTCTGTGGATGCTGAAAACAAAAGGGCGAATGTGTCACGCCTCTAACACTCGTGCCAGGTACTGGCTGAAAGACTTTCAGAGCTGTAGGAAGGTAGAAATACCATGAAAACCCTTAAAGGAACAATCACGTTTCCTGTGAGGACACCATCTGAGCTGGCATCAGAGGGCCGAGGCTCCTAGAAACACTGTTCCTAGAGCTCTAGGAACACTGTTAATTGAAAAGCCATGTCCCATCAGGCATTGTGCCGGTTGTTCCCCTTGGGTTACCTCTGAGCCTTAAAACAAGCCTGCGGGGGTCACCGAGAACCCAGATGCACCTGACGCCCTCCTCTGTGCACTCCACCATGCAGGGCGGCCACTCAGTCCTGGCCTGGCCAGGCCCACGGGAGGCGTTCACCCAAGGAACGCCGGGAGCTCTGCCTGGCCGGCAGCCACGGCACTGGGCACACGGCTGCAGAGATCACGCAGCTTCAGAAGAAATGTCCTGAGTTCTCAGTATAGCCCCCTTTTAAGCTCAAACTTAACTCTTTTTTCCTTACCTGTTGTAAAACCTTCTCTGTGAATATCTCTTGGAGTCTGGAAATTTCAACCACTTTCCCTTCAATTTGCCTTCATAAAAAAAAAAATTACTATATTAACTATTAGTACTTGGTAATCTTAACAGGAATGTCACACATTTCTAGAGCAATCATTTCTTCTAAGTGACAGAGAGGGGACACCGTGTCAGGCTTGGGAAGAGGAGAAAGACAGAGGGAAGTGGTTGCACCGGGTCTGTGTCACGGTCGCCCAGCTCGGGGCCTACCGTGCTGCTGGAGGTCGCAACCGGGAAAGCGGACCCTCGGTGCCCGCCTGCCTTCCGCTCTGCGTGACCGGCAGGAGCACACAGCGGCGCCACAGTCACAAAAGGCAAAATGGCCTCTGATGGTGAGGCCTGTGCATAGCCTCGTACCCACAGAAACAAGAAAACCTCAGAATCTGCTGATGGCCATCACTGTCATTGCTCAGGAGGGTAAGGAAAGTGTATTTCCCACTCAAACCCAGTCCCAGCTGGAAGGAAAAAGTCTGATTCTGCTTGAACGCGCGGTTCAGCACAGCAGCAGGAGAGGTGGCCAGGGGCCGTGCAGCAGCCGACTCAGCCCAGGAGGAAGCAGAGATGGTCCTGCTGTGTGGGGCCACGGCTCCTCCCAGACCACCTGGGGAAAGGCCAGGAGACTTGGCAGGAAGAGAGAGCTGCCCGGCGTGGGAGAAAAAGCGAGGTGGACATGGGCGGGGACAGTGATACTAAGAATCGGGAAGGACTAGGAGGCCCCCCTCTGAGGGCGGAAGGCCACGGAACCCCTGGCGGCCGCCAGAGGGAGGCCCACACTCGTCTTCAGGGCTGGTGGGTGTGGGTACAGGGATTCCGTTGCTCTAGGGAAGGGCCCACAGGACGCCAAGGCTCCCGGTGCTCTGCCCAGTGCCAGCCTTCTTTCCAGAATGCTCCAAGCCCCAGAGTGCTTCCACAGGCAGCCCAGCTTGTGCGGTGTCAACGGCCCCTTTGGTGAGGGAGCAGCGAGACCCTGGCAGGCGGTTGGCAGGAGGACCTTTCCCTTTGTCAGCCGCTCTCAGCAGGTGCCCCAGTTCATCTTAGAATCGAGTCACCGTAAAAGCCCCCAGATGGAGCTATTAGTTCTCTGTGGGGTGACTTGCAGTCACTAACTGGCCGTCTCGGAGCAGCAGCGCCTGGGAGCTCCTTAGCAGCCTGCAGGAGCCACCTCTCACAAGTTGGAGGGAGGCAGTGAATTGGTGCAGCTTCCCTGACACCCCCACATGGCTCGGGGGGCTGCATCTGGCCCCAGGCCACAGATAACCGGGCAACAAAGTCAGTAAAGGTCCTAGTTCCTGGGAAAGTTGTGAACCAGGCCATGAGCTCAAAAAGGAACTGCATAACATACCTGACTTCATCAAACAGGTTGTTCATTTCCCCAATTAGGCGCTGATTTTCTTGTTCAAACTGTGAGGAAACAAACACATGAAAGATGACATACATAACTCTGAACTCAGTCTCCAAAGCCACACAGCCAAAGGCAGCGTCCAGCCAGGCATCCGTACAGCCATCTTTGATCACCGCTGTCCCTCCCCCCAGCATAGTGGGAGCTGACGCTGCTACGAGACTGTGGGCACCGGCGTGAACGCATCCCTGCCCCGGGCAGAGAATGAAACCCACAGAGCAGGGCTGCCTGCGGCTTGACTGCTGCGTCCCACTCACCTGACTCCCAGCCTGCCTTCGCTGACGCCCACCATGAGAGTGCGGTGGCACGGGCATCATGTTACCCTGCCGCCCTGCTCTCCCTCCAGGCTCCCGTGGTTTGCTTTCTGCCTCTGGGACCCTCATTTTTAAATGGGGCAGTGAGGTTGGGCACCTTGGCCGAGAGCAGGGCGGTCTGACCTCAGAGCCATGCCCTGGCCAATCTGCTGTGACAGTACAGAGCCCCACGAGCCAGAGCTGCTCTCCCAGCGCTCGGGCTGGCGACCAGGCCTCAGGGATGAGGCTGGGTAAGGACGCCACCCTGACACCGGGAGCTCTTCGGAGCTGAGTTAAGTCTGCAGAGCAAAGAGCTGCTCTCCCAGCCATTCTTGCCAGCTGGGTCCCGGCCAGCAGGAGGGCACACCTGAAGCTTCACCAGTGTGGGGAACATCCTCAGCCTCACCCGCACAAGCCACCCGTCTCCCCGTGCCTGCTCCATTCCCAGACTGCATAGGTAGCCAGGGATGTCCTCTATCTCCTCCCAACATGTCCCAGAAACCCAGCCCCAGGCCACCTTCTCCAGGACACTGTCCTGGGCCCTGGAGCTCTGAGTTGTTTCTCGTTTTTCTAACCTTGGTCTCCCATCATCTAAAATCTCTTAGCATAGTGACCATTTTCTTATAATAATCTGTGTATGTCCCAAACTCCCTGTGTCACTAGGAGCTGCCTGAGGGTGGGAATCGCACTGACCCTGACTTTCAAAGGCCCCCACACATGCTATTTTTCCACATCTATTAAGGCTGCAGTCGTGTCCACAAATACTTCCTGAGGCATTCTGTGCCTGGCACCGTGTGGCAAACAGGGCAGCCAGCTCCTGCTCTCCGAGGCTTGCAGTCCGACTAGGACCTGGTCGGCACGTGACCAGTGAAGCAAACGCAGAGGACCAAGGATCATCCTGTTTGGGAACTTCTAAGGGTGCCCTGGGCTGAGCTGGGCTCTCCCCATGCAGACTCCGTCCAGGTCTCCTGCCCCTGCCCGGTCTTGCACCCCCTCTGGGGAGGGAGGTGCTGGTCTCTGGGCACCTCCTCCCCCTGCGCTGCTCCTCCCCACTCACTGGAGACAGGGCCACTTCCTCTGGGCAGGACCTCCTGAAATGTCATCTGCCTCTGGGGCCCCCCGCAGGCTTCTCAGCGTGGCTCTATGCTGGCGCCCTCCCTCCCTTCTGCCAGAGGCCCTGGCACACTTGCTGTATTTGTTCCTTCCCCGTGGTCTAAGCTGTGCCCTCATAATCTCCGGCTCTCCTTGGTCAAAGTGATGGATGCCAGCCGTGTCACGCAGCTCCATGCAGCCCTGCCCCTTCACCCTATGGATCAGGTCTGAGGGGCAGCGCCCTCTGTGACGCTGGGCGTGGGCATCTGTGACCCCGCCTCACCTCTGCAGCTCTCAGCCTATGATGACTTAGGCCCTGGCTGGGGAACTCCAACTGGTCCCTCAAAACCCAGCAGAGGCACCTTCTTGGTGATGAGACACACCAGGGCAGATGTCACTTTCCATCATCCCCTCTGTCTTCTCAAGAAGCTCCCCTCCATCACATTTCTCACATTAGTTCAGGGGCCTGTCTTCCCTCCTGGGGTGGGGCTGTCTTTCTTCCCTGGACCCAAAACCCAGCTCAGGGTCTGACACTCAACAGGGCAACAGTTCCTGGCCGCCGACCTCCACCCACCCCAGACCTACTGGGTTAGAAAATGGGTGAGTTGGCAAAGCTTCCAGCAGGGTAGAGGGCTGGGGAAGTCCCCTGCAGGGCTGCCTCCCCCAGGGCAGGCTGCTTCGCTGCTGCTGACGCGGTACTGCGATGGCCCTTCCATTTATGCATCAAAAAGGCTATTTTAGAGGATAAAAAGTTCACTTTCAAGTTTGAACCTATCAGCTCTGTTAACTATCAATTCTACAATTACGTAAGAGTCCAGTAAGGAAAAATACAATTACTTCAGCATGTAGATGCTAATTTATTTTGACTAATTCTTTCAAGTACTACTCAGGTTTTTCTGTTTTTTTTTTTTGTTGCATTTTCTTTGAATTTTTCTAATGACAAAATATGGCTACCCTTTTAAATGCACAGTCCTTTTATGCTTTTAGTGTTCCTAAGCAAAATTAACTAGGGCTTTAGGTGGCTATCAGAATGGTCCCCAGGAACAAAGCCTGCTGTTTGCTACCTAACTGGAGGTCATGTGACCTTGCACTGAATCTCCTTTCAGGTCTCCCAGGAACGGCCCCTGCCTGCAGGACTTCTGTTAGCAGGTCAGGAGCGGGGTCAGCTTCTGGCCCTCGTTTCCTTCCAGCTCCTGGGTTCTTGATGCCGCCTAAGAAATAACCAATCCCTGGAGGAGGCAATGGAACAAACACCTCACGGGATCAAGCGGCGATACAGGTCGAGTGAGAAAACAGATTTGCCGAAGGCCAGGAGCTTTAGAGGCAGCACCCTCCACTCGGGGACGCGGTTACAGTGAGACTCGGTCCGAAACAACAGAGCCTGTGCACACAGCCAAGTGCGAAGCCACCGCGTCCGGGGGGCGGCGGGGCTGGGAGGTTCGGGGACAGCCGGGCAGCCCGCAGCATTCACTGCACCAGGCTTCGGGACGGTTTCTGCAGGGCTCTCAGTGGCAGACCTGTACGCCTCACCTCTCATCTGGGAGTAAGGCAGGAGGCAGCCGGATACCAGGCAGCAGGCTAGGCAGCAGATAAGCCAGGGGCCTCGGGGAGCCCGATTCTGTGCCCTCGTGGGAACTCCTCGGGTGGCACTGGACCAGTGACTGGCCTTCTGGGTGGCCTGTAGCTTCTCTTTGTGAGCACGTGTGATGACTCTTACCCTTTCCTGCCTGACCTCAGGGCAGAGGGATGGCTCCTTCACCGCCTCCGCTGCATGCCCTTGGGCAGGTAACCTAACTCCTCTGTGCCTCTGTTTTTGTCAATAAAATGGGGATAATAATAGTAATTAACAGAGTTGTTAGGACGAAGATGTGTTAATATATTTAAGTTGCTTACCAAAGTGCATGGCACATAGTAAGCCCTCACCATGTTTATATTTAATATCTCTGGGAGTTGAGAGTTGTCTGGAAATGCAAAGTCATGAAGGCCCCTTCCACCACTCTGGTTTCAGATTCTAAGGGCAGCTGTGACTCCTGGCCCTTTGCCCTCTTGGGCATGAGAAATGCACACACAATGCCCATGGGGCTCACTGGCAGGCCAGCAGCGGCTGGGGGTCCCCATGCGGGCAGGGACTTCCAACATGCAGTGCAGAATGAGGCCTGGTCTCCACAGTCAGCAGCAAGGACACGGGTACTGATAGGCCCAGGGGAATAAGCCTGTGGTCTGAGAAATACTTCATCTATCTCTGCGAGTCCCTGCAAAGGGTAACGAGAGGCCTAGATGGTGGGCAGCGTGGGCACCTAGATGCAGCCAGCAGCCAGCCTGTCACTCTGGGCACCCTCCGTGGCCCACTCCACTCTCTACTGTGTAGGTCTCACCCCAAAATACAATGCTTTCCCTCGGCACAGACCACGCCCTACAACCTCACCCTGACCCTCAACCACAGTGGTAGGCACTGTGTTTAAGAGTCTAGGACTTGGGAACCCTCTGTAAAACAGGCCAGCCATACTCCCTGCCACATAGGTGGCATAAATTAACAAACACCTAAGTGTTCAGACCAGCACTTGGCACGTGGTATTTGTTACATGTGGGTTAGGCAATATTATTGAGCTGAATTTCATTCATTAAGTCAGTTAGACTTTCAAATGAAGCCCCCCAAAAGGGTTTAAAATCTGATTTAAAGGATACAATCCACCCTGAATACACAGTTACAGAAATTCTTTTCTAATCTAATCCTTTTTACTATAGTTTTAAGAAGAAAATCACTCCTCAAAGGCCTCTGAGTATAAAATGCAGCCAGAAGCCACCTGCACTGCAGAGCCAAGAGGGGCTAACGGAGCGGAAGACTACGCACTCCTGGCGAGCTGGGGCCCCCAGGCGCTGGGTCTGGAGGCGGTCTGCCCCTGGCTCAGGAGCCCGCTGCCCGGGCCTTGCTAGGCTCTGCCAGAGGTGCTTCATCTAGGCCGAACACCTCCACCGGGCGCTCTGTGACCCTCACCTCGGTCCCTGAGAACCTGGAGCCCCCTGACCCCCAGTCTGGACCCCAGCTCTCACCAATGTAGTGCTCAGATTCTACCAACAATTTTTGTGTCCCCAATGGCTGAGTTGAGCTTGGCCACAGACCAAGAGCCCTGCTAGCCAGCCGCCTGGTGCTTCTGGGGCCTCACGTGAGGGACAGCAGCTAGGGACAGCACCTTTCATGCGAATTTTAGAACAGAAGTCACATTCATGTCTTTAAAAATTATCCTAAGGGATACATCAATAAGTGCCAGGTGGCTCACTTGAGGCAAGGAAAATGAATGTGGGCTTAGAAAAGGAGGTATTTTCTCTATGTGACATCAGAAAAGTCTGGTTCACTCAGCCTGACCACTAAACATATGCTTATATTAGCTCAAAGGCATTAATATAACTGTATCATGAGTTATAAACGGAAATTTATTGTGGAAATCATAATACTCTGCAACCATTCTGGAGCACATAACAGCTGCTCCTATGGGTGGAATAATGAATTAAATTGCTATTATAGAGCTTAAATTCATTATTTTACCCTAAGGAAAAATTCTGAAAAAGTGACTATGAATTGTGACCACAATTTGCTACAACACTTTCCTATTTAGTATTTTTCTTTCTCTTCATTTTCAGGGTTGAGACTTTTAAGTAAGATTTGGGTTAGTCAGACTGTAAGATGTAGTATACAGCTATTATTCCCAACTAAGAAGGAAGTGACCTGAACGTTAAGTAGCCTAAGTGCTGAACATTACAGCCTCCTGCGCGATACACCTGCAGTACCAGAAGAACACTGGGGGGCCCTGCTGGCTCTGAGGGTGCTGAGAGCTGACACCGTGCACACTAGGGGCGCTCCCTGGCGTGGTTCGGCCAAGGCTTCCGGCAGGGCAGTACCATGAAACAGAAGCACGGGCAACAGTCATGGAAAGAAGAGCCTTCTGAGGTGACATGCATTTTCATGCGCACCAGCTGAATCGTGTTCTGAACACATGCAGGGGGCGGCAGCGTGCAGGCAAGTGGCAGCTTCTGAGTGCAGTGCCTGCTGAGCGGCTGCCAAGTGGCCTGCGCTTACAGACACCACCGCAGCTCTGGGGCTGGGGAACAGAAGCTCAGCAAGGCGACTGTCCTTGCCCCAAATCACATGGGCAGTAAGTGAAATAGAGGGTGCACGACCAACTCTGTCCAGGCCGTATGCCCACGCTCCTTCACCGCCTGTCACCGGGACGGGCGCCAGCTACCATGGACACCCTTGCTGCCTGCCTTCCTCTGGTCCACCCCAGGCACCTGGAGGCGTCTCAGTCACGCGTCTGCCGCTCCCCACCGCCTACAGGAGAAAGGCAGGATCCCCGGGTGAACAACTGGTACTGTTCTAGCTCCTTCCTTTATGAGGAGTGGTACAGTGTCACTAAAGCAAACAAATAAACCCGAGACAGAAGGTAAATTCTGCTTGAGTGCAAACATATTCTTTCTCAATGAAGGGACAGTGCTACACACATTTTTACCTCCTGCAGAGATATGTGGTCACAGTGGGGGAACACAACTCATCATTTTCATTAATGAAATTATTTTGTAAAAATTGAAGAAATTGCAATTTTAAGAAATGTCTGCCATACTTGGCTGTAGGAAGGGAGTGTGATCCCGACACTTCATGTCCATTTGTCGGCTCCGCAGCATGCCTCGGCTGGCACAGCTGGGGGGCAGCGCCCTTCGCCTCCCTCTCCTCTCCCTGTACACACGGTTTCAAAGGCCAGCTCTAGGATGCCCCCCATGTTCCCCTGAGCCTCAAGCCCCCACCCATCAGACATCTACCCCAGGCACCTCAAACTCTTCCTGTCCACAGCGCCATTCAGGGCCTGCCCTGCCCCAGCCCCCCTGCTCTCTGTGCGCCCTCCCTTCGGACCGCCAGCCTTGTGTTTTCCGTTAGAAAGCTCCAGGCTCGCTCCCCTTCTGGCACTTTCTCACAACCCAACTGCCCTCCATGCAACACCAGTCCAGCTGACTGCCCTGATACCTTCTCACGTCGCCTTCACTGCTCTCCCTGCCAAGGCCCTGTCCCCTCTCACCTGGCCTGGGCAGTGGTGGCTGCTGACTGCAGTCCACGCTGTGGTCTCTCTCCAGCCACCCTCTGCACCGTGAGGCTTCCAGGTCCCACCCTCCTGGGTCTGGGGCACTAAGCATGTACTCAGAGTTGGAGGGTGCCTTCTGGAACATGAGGGAAGCTGGAGAGGAAGGCAGGCTACGTTACGGTGTCTGAGTTACCTCCTTAGCTCAGAATGATTTCTGTCCTCAAGGGACAAAGACAGCCCAGCTTATTATTCCAGAGGAAGTACCCAAGGCTCCGAAGGAGCGCCCCTAAGTCCTAGGAAAGTCACGGGTAATGGTACCACCACTGGAATCAGTTTCCTGCCCCTACGGTGACAATTTTAAAGAGGAAATTACTCATCTGGGTGGATATGTTTGTGAAAGTGTCCTGGGTCTACAACAGTATGAAAGTCACTGACCTGCAGCTGCCACCGTGCATGGCTCTCAACCCTGCCATGAGTGTAGCATGCACCCCACAGTTCTTCCCTGGTCAGCTGGGACCCACAGCCTGACCACTGTCTGGTCTCTTCCTCTGTGCAGGGGACACCAGTCCTGCCTCCTTGCACAGCCTGCCCCTCTCAAGGGGAAAGGCGGAGGTAGCTCATCTATAGGCACCTGCTGTGGGTTTGGCACCATGATGCACGACCCTCTGGGGACAGCTCCCTCGGTCACCAGTCCTACTCTGAGGTGACCACAGGTGTCTCAGTCCTTTATTTAGGCTGGAGAAGAAACAGGAAGTGTGGTGAGCAAGAGGACTCTGAGCAGGTCACTGCCCGTCAGGCGCAGACATGTGCACTGGCCACCCTTGCAGGGCCCAGCCTGCAGACCTTCACCTGTGATACCACTCAGTGGGCCCCCAATAGCTGGCTGACTCTGCCAGGCTGTCCACGCCAGTGTGCCACATGGCTCCTGGGCAGGCTACACTCACCCAGACCACCAGATCTCACCTGACGCATGTGAGCTGTGGTACAGAGAAAAGGTTCAGGGCGCGGAGCCAGGGCTCAGGGCTCAGGGCACAGCCCGGCTGCCCTACTGCCCTGTGACTCTGGAGGGCTTTGGAGATTTTGTGCCTTGTTTTCTTCAGCCCTACAAGGGGGATAATTCTTACTTCACTGGACTGTTACGGAAATTAAACAAGACAACTATGTCAAAGACTTGGCAATGGAAGGCATTCGTAAGTGTAAATAATAACAGTAGTAGCTCAAAATCCAAATATTCTAGTAGTTCTGACTGATGATCCTGCTTTGCCATTTAGAACGACCTGTAGCTCTTACGGTATCACTAAAGTCGCTCATCCGTTCGCTGTTCTCGGCTCTGGGAATAAGGCAGTGAAAGCAGTCAAGTCCCCGCTCTCCTGGCGCTGGCTTATATTCTAGGGGAGGGATGAGAGAATGAAGTGGTAAGGGGACAGAATGGCCAGGGGTGGCTATGCTGGGACACAACATTAGAGACAAGATGCGAAGACAGTAAAAAGAGAAAGAGCTTGGAAGACAGAAGCCTCAGTGGGAGAGCCTCAAGGCCAGGAGGGGACCTGTCCCTTTCTTATCCCACAGAGCTCTGGCTTGATGCTCTATTTCTCATCTTCTTGATCAGGAGACCAGGGCTGGGCCTCTACCAACTGGTCATTAATAAGCTCTACCACTATTAACTAGGACGCTGGGTAAGACACTTCACTGCTTTTTGCCAAAGTCAAAGGGAGATGGTAATGCCGCCCTACCTCTTAGCATGACTAGTAAGAGCATCATGGAAAAAACACACTCAAAAGTCCTGCCTGCTGTAAACAGCAGCACAAACCAAGGTGTCGTCATCTGTCAGGCATGGCCACTGGGAAGCTGCTCTGTGGGGACCAGTCTCTCCAGGCAGACACGGTGTCACACCAGGGCAGTGCCAGGAAGCATCTGTTCCAACCACAGGTGGAGTATTCCACTTGGCTCTGTCACGCCAATGTCCAGATGAGCTGTACCCAGTGCTGCTGTGAACGAGCGGGCAGGGGATCTTGCCAAGCCTATCAGTTTCCTTTTGAAACTCACCCAGAGATGATAACCCACAACTGGCAACCTGAGGACAGGCAACTCACAGGAGGTGCTCTGAGCAGCTGAAGTGTTACTCTTTTCAGTTGCCAGTCATTGCCACGCTTTCCTCACATCACCAAAACACCAGCAATTCCAACAATTAAAAAGCACCAGAGCAGCAATTACAAGAGATCCACTTAATCTAAAAGACTTTTATTGTTGCTCAAAAGACATCTAATAATAGTAAAATTATTCTCAGGCAGTTTCTTCTTTAATTATGCTGCTGCAAAGTTAAAACATATAAAAAGCATATACCAATTAGGAAATTAAGTGGAAAAGTTGTATCTAAAATATTTATTCATGATTTTTAAAACTTGGTATAAAAATCAAGGCAAGGGCATTTAGGATGACCTACTACTCAATGAATACTCTTACTAAAACTAGTTAAAAACACACAATCAGGCAGAGAATAGCATTACCGTTTGTATCTCTTCTGGGGATAATTCGTCTTCACCTTTGCCATCTCCCCAGGTTCCCAGTTCAGGCTGTATTTCAGATGGTATCTTTTCTGTTAAGAAAAAAAAAAAGAAGGCAAATTACTCATTTAGAATAGGCTGGCTTAGGATGCAGGCGTATTAAACTCATGAGATGGAACAGAATCTTACAGCTTTGTCCATATTCAGTTACGTGTTGGCTGACATTCAGGCATGACATGATTCTTCTACAGTGTTTAGAACTGTGTGTGTGGTGAGGTGGAGGGAACCCGGGCTTGGTTTTATTGGAATTCAGCCAGGGAAGAGATGGAAGGGGTTGCTCCTTGGTGGAGGCTGTAATGGGGTGTCTGGTGTCTCAGCGGTGCCTCTGGGCTTGTCACTAGGTAGCCAAGAAGTCAAAGGCAAATACGGCTTCTTTTTCTGTTCTTCCCCAATCTCAGTAAATTTCCCAAAGCTGATCTCAGCCCCATGAAATGGACAAAAGTCCAGAGCTCTTGCTTTGATAGTGAAAAGGGAAAAGAAGATAATCATAGCATACTTCAGAGAAAAAAGATTAGGCAGATCATGTGATGAGACGTGGTCACTATCTGGGACACGTCATCACAAAATAACTCCATGCTATCCATAGCTTTGTACAAGTTTTTAAAAAATGGCTGTTTTTGCCAGGACTACCATTGTATTTATTATAAAAGACATATTCATATAAAAATGAGATATACATAATTTATATACAAAAGGCATATTTATAGAAGACAGGCTGAAAGCATCTTTAGAAACCGAGTAGGTGTTTTTCTGAGATGATGTCTTCAAGTAGGAAACTGCCCTTTTCAGCCACCCATCCACACCCAGAGCCCTCCGTCTTCCCCTTGACATCATTATGGCATCCATGTCAAGCTTTTACTTTTATGTTTTTTAAGGGTAAGAAAACCAAAATTAGAAACAAAGAAAATCGTTCCCATCAGAACCAAGCCTGAGTGAGCTCTGAGCTAGGGCGGCAGGCTGCGAAAAGGACTCACGCACTGTAACACGCTCGCCTCCGCAGCCGGCTGGAGCCGGAGCCGGAGCCGGAGCCACGCTGGCCTGCTGCTGTGAGCAGCAGCCTGAAGCACGGTGCTCCCCATGCCAGTGCCCTGCCCGGACCTCCAGCAGCCCAGTGCCAAGAGACTCCAGTCCAGACTCCCTGGCCCGGCATTCAAAGCACTCAGCGTGGTCAGGCCCCACGCACCCTCCCAACCTTCATCCCGCCACCTCCCCTTTCCATGCACTGCAAACCCACAGGCTTCCTTTACTGACTACACTGCATTCCTCTCTCCAGTATTTATTCGTGCTGTTCCTCTGCCTAGAACGTTCTAAGCTTCCATTTCGTCAGGTCCGGACTCATTGCTCAGGGCCATGTCCTCCCGAGGTCCCCCACCCCTGAGTGAACTCTGACCTCCCCCCATGCCCTCTCTAGGGCACCACTCAGTTTCTTGGGCTAGAATCGCTTCCCTGAGGCAGCAGCCATGGCTCATTTGAGAGCAAGCCTGAGAAGCATTCACAAGAACACCATACCCATCCTAACACCAGGGAAACCATGTCAACTGGACACGGGAAGACCCAGCTCACTCTGGCTGAGTGGGGATGTGGAAGAAAAAGGCCTCCGTCAGACATGGACAAAGGTCAGCTGTGCCCGCAGAGGTGCCTGACACTGCTGACTAATGTGGAAGTAAAATCAGTGCCTTAAAAAAAAAACCCAGGAGTATGACAAGCAAGAAGCAGCCTCTGCCTAGACCTACACTGCCTGGTCCTACACGAAACTAAACTATTTTTTGTCTAAGTTACATCTCATGTTTCAAGAGGGAAATGAAAAAACTGGAAAGAAAAGATAAGCAAAAGGACAGCAGCCCAGGTTTAAAAAACCCATCTGCAAACTGCAGATGCATTTAGTAAAATGTCCATGGTTGGAAAAAACTGTCTCCCAAAGGGCAGGGAGGGAAGGACAGATATACACCCGCCGGGGTCAGCAGCTGGGTGAGGGATCGCGATTACCCAGCAGCACTGAAAGGTCAAAGGTCCAAGGCCCTAGAACACAGGGCAGCACCATGGGCCAGTGTAGGCGTCCCCTCCCCACACACATTAATTCTTCTGAGGTGCAGGCCCGTGACTGCACTGCTGGTTTCCCAGGACTCCCAAACGCCTCCAGCCCTGAAGCCATCCCTGAGCTCTAGGCTCACTCCAACAATGGACTGTGTCCACCTGAAAATCCAGTAGGCAGACCTATGATGTGTACACCAGAATGCTGATTCTGTTCCCAGCCCACTCCTCCTGGCCTTGCTGCCAAACTGACCTTCCCCACCTCAGTCCACCCAGCTGCTCAGACCCCAGCCTGGAAGGCATCTTCAATTGCTCTCTGTCGCTCAGATCTCATATCCTACCTACAATCTGATCTCCAGTTCTAACCTGTGACAGGAGTTTGGGCATGTTTCTCCATCTCCATCTCCACCGTGGCCTCCGACGCCAGCCACGGTCCTCTTGTGTCTGGGCTGCAAGAGAATGCGAACAAGCCACCTGCCTCCACTTTCTCTTTACTCAACTCCAGCTCCACACAACACTGGAGAGCCTTTAAAATGTGAACCAGAAATTGCCACAGAGCTTAAAAACCTCCAGGCCTTGATCCCAGCCTCTAAGGCCCTGTATGATCAGACCTCTGCCTCCTTCCTGTGGGAGAGCATTGTGTGTACATGTGTGTGCAAAGGTGTTGAAATGTGCCAAGCTTGTTTTTCAACTGGAGAACTGTTACCTGTCAGAGGTTTCTGCTTTCCCCACATCCTCACCCAGTTATTACCTGCCTTTCCATTACAGCCACTCGGTGGGTGTGGTACCTCACTGTGGTTTTGATTTGCATTTCCTTGATTACTAACGATGTTGAGCATCTTTTCATGTCCTTACTGGCCATCTGTATATCTTCCTTGGAGAAATTTCTATTCCGATACTGTGCCCATTTTTAAATTGGGTTATTTGTTATTGAGCTGTAAGAGTAGTTTCTGTAATCTGGATACAGATCCCTTATTAAATACATAGCTTGCAAATATTTTCTCCCATTCTGTGGGTTGTCTATTTACCTTTTTTTTTTTTGACCTTTGAAGCATAACAGCTTTTAATTTTGATGAAGGCCAATTTATCAGACTTTACCTTCTGTGGCGAGTGCTTTTGGTGTCATATCCTTGTTAATCTTTTGTCAAAGTGAGGTTAGGAAGATTTAGCCCTGTTTCCTTTTACGAGTTTTTAGCTGCATTTGGGCCTTCGGTCTATTTTGAGCTAGTTTTTGTATATTGTGTGAGGTTAAGTGTGCAGCTTCATGTTTTTGCATCTGGATCTCCAGTTTTTCCAGTTCCATTTGTTGAAGGGCCCATTCGTGCCTCACTGAATGGTTTTGCACCCTAGGTGAAGAGCCACTGACTACAGACACCTGCATTTATTTCTGGGCTCTCAGTCCTATCCCACTGACGCATATGTTCACCCCTGCACCAGTCCCTCCCTGTGTGATCACTGTTGGCTTTGTGGTAAGTGCCAAACCAGGAAGGGTACGTCCTCCCACTTTGTTCTTTTTGCTGGCCTGCATTCCCTGCACTTCCTTATGGATTTTAGAATCAATTTGTCGATTTCTACAAAGAAGTCAGCTGGGATTTAGATTTAGTTTATTCCTTTTGATATAGCATAAAGGAATTGTTGCTTTTTAAATTTCATTTTCAGATTCTCACTGAAAATATACAGAAACGAAATTGATTTTCATATGCTGATTTTGTATCCTGCAACCTTGCTGAACTCATTTACTACTTTTTTCTTGGTGGATTCCTTACAATTTTCTGTTTATGATACCAGGCATTTGCAAACAGAACAACAACAAAAAAACTTCCTTTCTCATCTGGATTTTTATTTTCTTTTGTTTCCTAACTGCCCTGGCTATCTAAGCCAACCTAGTAATTGACCTTTAGCACTAAACTTGAAGAACACTGCCCGGTCTTCAGTGTCAAGCAGTGGACCTCCTCACAGCTGGCTCTGCAATCTAACAGAAGACGTGCCGCTTGTAGAGCGCCACTGCACACACCAGACACTGCCGAGCCACATGACATGCCACAGGAGAGGAGAGGCTCAGAATTCCAATGACATGTCCAAGGTCATATCACAGGATGGAGGAAGGCTGTGAAACCAGGTTAGTCTGGCTCCCAAGTCCAAAGTATACACTGCAACCAAGTTCTGTCTTCCCTTATACCCAGAGGGAAGGGATGGCACATGTCCATGAACAGGAAATAAAGGCAGGATATATCAGTGCTTGTTGGGACAGACAAATAAAACGAATTTCAGAAAAATCTGTTACATTTGCAGGAATTTGTACATTTTCAGTTAGTACCAGGTAAGACTGTGCCACCCTTTGGGATCTTAGGTAATCAAGTAACAGGTGACCGTGAAATGACCAGGAAGGGAAGAGGTCTGGTGGAGTGGGCGCCAGGGTGCAGCACTGGGAGCAAGAGTGGACTGGCCATGGGGCATCTCAAAAAGGCGCCCTAGGCCCAGACAGGACAGGGCAGGGGTTCCAAGATGCAAGACAGAAGGCGAAGGCAACGCTAATGCTGACAATGTCTCCTTCCCCACCCTTAAAAAGTAGGTGTGTCATCACCCCCATTTTAAAAAGGGCAGAAACAGGGCTCTGAAGTCCTCGTCAGCACTGGAACGGGGATCTTGACTGCCTCCAAAGAGACAGTCTCCCTCACACCCTCTGTTTGCCGCACGCTGGTCGGGAGCTAGGCTGGGGAGTCTCGCGTTCAGGGGGCTGGTGTGCTCAGCGGGAAAGCACACGCAAGTACTGACTTCAACATCTGGTTCCTCTTGAATCAGGAAACACTTCCACAGCAACTAAAAGCAATCAGTGTTCCAGACAGGCTTTCCTCATTCATTCATTCTTTTTAACAAAGATTTACTGGGCACCTCGTATGTGCCAGGCATTGTTCTGGGTACCTGTGAGAGCAGTGAACAAAATACAAAAATTCCTATCCTCACGGAAGTTATATTTTAGTAGGGGAGGCAGACCCCAAAGTATATCAATGAGTAGAACACACAGAAGCGTGGTGACAGGCATGCTGGGGAGGCAGGGAAAGCAGGGGAGATGCAACGGCTGGGAGGGCCTAGTCCGTGATCCCCCTTCTGTCCACCCTCATTTCCTGGGGATCCCAGCCTGTGTCATGGGATTGATGCTATCTACAGACACACCCCTGACCTCTAGACTCAAACCCAATGCCCTACTCAGCATCTCTGCAGGCCGCCCACACTGAGTTCCTGGTCTAACCAGCTGCCGCCGGCCTCACCACAGTCTCTGCATCTCAGAAAGGGTCAGCAACCTCCTTCCTGCCAAAACCAGGTGGCCTTCCTTGACTGGTTTTCTCAGGCCCCACATCCAGGAAGCAAATTCTGTGGCTCAACTTTCAAAATACACCCCGAATCCCCCCACTTTACCCCCCACCCTGCTACCATGCTCGGTCCACCTTGACCTTGTTTCTGGGCGACTTTAGCAGCCTCCTAACTGTCCCTGTCTCCTTGATCCCCATGATTCATTTCAGCAGAGCAACCAGGGGGGCCCCACTCAAGAGAGTCGGGAGGGACAGTCCTTCGTGCTGACCTCCTTGTGGCCGGCCACCTCACTTGGCAGAGAAGCCCCCGTCCTCCCGTGGCCTGCAAGGCCCCCCACGGCCGGGCTGCCCTGGCACCTCCTTGCCTCCTGCCCCTTTGCTCTCCAGTCTCCAGGCATGCTCCTGCCTCACACCTCTGCACTTTTGTCTCCTCTGCCTGTGACACTGCTCCCCGGGGAGCCACATGGCTCATTCCTCATGACCTCTGGGCTTTACTGTAGTGCCAAGGTCTCCAGCCTCTCTGACTGGCCATGTCTGGGTTACCAAAGTGCCCCTCTCATAGCACCATGAGCACTCCTGTCTACCCCTCTGCAGAAGCCTTCCACTAATATCTGTTTCTCACTGGGCTAGAGCAGACATGCCTGTTTCCTACCCACTACCGTGTCCCCAGCATCCAGCACAGTGCCCGGCACAGCAACACTCAGTGTGGGCCTGGGGCCCAGGGGGGCAGACTCATCTCACAGGAGGCTGACTCTCAGCTGGACCTCGAGAATCTGCATGGCGGCTCCCTACTCTCATCGGCCCTAACAGTGTTTTGAGGGAGGAAGGGAGGGAGGGGGGAGGGAGGAGTGACTATGCTGTGTCTGGCATGAGTGAAGGCAGGTACGATACCCCCCGTATCACCTTAGAAAAAGCAGAGCCGCATTACTTCCCATGAAGCTGCGGTTTCCCTTGTTTGGGGCAAGTGGAGAAGGAGGTGTGCAAGGCCTCTGGCCCAGGGGATCGAGGCGGCCGCCAGAGAGGGCGGCTCAGGCCCTGTGACGGGGGACCAACCTGGGGGGCGGGGCCACCCCTTTCTTGCAGTTTGACTTTGAACAGATCATATAATCTCTTCAAAGCTCTGTTTTCTCACACGGAAAACGCTGATAATAATACCTCAAGGGCAGTGAGAGTTGATCTACTCACCCCCCAGCACGTGCCCAGCACCACGAAGGGGCCTGTGAACCGTGAGACTCCTTGCACTCCCACGGACGCTGCTTCCAGCTACAGAAAGAGCCCCCGGCATCCGTCAGGCTCCCAGAGCCACAGTGCATTCTGGGTTCCTTCGCTTGTGAAATTTACGGAGGAAGTTAAATGGAGAGGCAGCACAGAGCCACATAGAAATCTTGGGTCCCCCATTTAGGAGCTTCTGACTTGGACACGTTTCCCAGACTCTTGAAGCCTTCCTCTTTTACAGAGCCATCCCCGAGGGCTGCTGATGCAGGACAGTGCCTGAGTGTGGGAGACGCGCAGTGAAGGAGATAACACAGAAGGGGAGGTGAGGAGGACTCCTGGGAGGCACTGTGTTTATCAGCACCCACAGGGTGTCAGGGGCTGTTCTAAGTCGTGGGCCACCTAGGATCCCATCACAAAGACAGGAAGCGGATACACCCAGACTTGCATTTTGTCCTGTTGGCTAGACTCGCGGTTGAAGGCTGGTGAGATCACATGCTCCACCCGAGGCAAGGTGGGCAGGTGCACCCAGGGTCGGCACTGCCGGCACACTGAGATCCCAGGGAAAGGGCACAGCATGGGCGCAGGGGAAGCAACACCCCACCTTTCCTGAGACTGACATGCAAGAGATCTGGTATTTTCTCCAGATGCGGTCCACTCCCCAGCCGTCTGGTGCAGAGCCACTCAGGTCGTTTCTCGTGGAGCCTGCCGGTGCCCAGGTGACAGAAATCCCACCCCTGCCCCAGCAGCCGTCATTAAGGTTTGACTGTGACAGAAAACAGGCTGCCACTCCATATTTGCTTTATGCAGATACAAATGCCACAAAATGTCTAAGACTGTTCTTTCTTTTTCTGCTTTGTATTTTTGCCAACATGTCATAAGGAAGAGACACAAGATTTTGATTTTAATTCATACCTGGATATTCTTCAGTGACAGCTTTTTCTTCAATGTCTTCTGAAGGATTCTGTGAAACTTTCTCAGAAGACATGGATTCTTTTGTCTTTGCATATGGTTCTGGTTCCAGCTTAGACCTAAAAAAAATAATAATGAGCAATCATATGATTTATTTACACAACAGGATTCCATTTTGACAGCAGGAGGGGTCACACAAGACCTCGACACGCACGTTCTGCTTTCTCCTGAGCAGATCTCCTGCCTCTGTGCCCAACAGCCGTCCCACTACACCTCAGGTGGGGTGCTCAGTGCAAAGTACCGGTGCTGCAGCCTTCAGAGGCCCATGCGCCCCCCACCAAAGCACCCCGGGGGAGAAGGCAGCAGGTGCTGATGGGAAGAACCTGCACACTGACTCCAAACACAACACGTGAGCAGTAAAGGCTGACTGTTCCAAGTTCAACAAGCTGCTCATTTCACACCAATGCAAAAGTGCTGCTAAACACACACACACACACACACACAGTAAAGCACAAATCTTCAAGAGCCACTGGATGGAACCAACTCGTCTCAGAAACCAAGGCTTTTGCACTTGGCCCTCTGCCTCAGAGTTCCTTCCACGGCAATGTTATTTCCACCTTCAGGGTGAGGCTCCATCTTGCTTACTCCGAGGCCTCCTCTGCCGGAGCACTCCTGTGACGCTGCACCACCCCTGGCCTGGAATGACTGTTAGTTCCCCTGCCTGTCATCTGGCTCCACTGGAGGGGCATGCTCGGGGGCAGGGGCCCCTGCTCCGTGAGTCATGTCCGCTGTGTAGGCTTATGTCCTAGATGAGTGCCTCGCATTCAGTGTTTAGTAGATGTAGGTTGAATGATGGATGGTTTACAATTGCCAGTAAATGGCTAACAAGAGAAAAAACATTTGGGTACCAAACAGTGAGCCTTGTAACAGCTTTACCGGAATCCACATAGCTCGACGAAAATGATAGGAAGACTGCTAAAAGGACCTATGATAAATTCCACATCACTATAAATTACTTTCATTTATAGAGAAGCTATAACTAAAGGAACAACGTACATATATAGGAGGGCAATATTACTAATCCAGCTAACACTTACCAAGGGCTTATCTTGTATTGGGCATTTTTCTAAGCCAACAGACAAATTTCATAAGGACAAATTTAATGATATGCATACCTATAAAGTAATAATAGCTGCTTAATCATTAATGACCTTTTTACAAAGATGGAAAGCGAAGTGTACGGAAGTTAGGGAACTTGCCCAGTTGCTGGGCTGGCATGTAACCTCAGGGAACTTATTTCCGAGCTATACTCTTAACAACGGCTCGTCAGAGTGGTTTCTACCCACCATGTTCTCCAGGAAGGGACCCCGTCGGTCCGGTGCATCTGAGAAGGCTGGGTCAAAGCTAGATGGGTATTTTACTTGAAACTTTTCAGAGCCTTTAACACACTAACATACATTTTGAATTTCCAAAAAGCTTGGCTTTTCCAAAACACCTAACTGCAGAGACCATTTTCATGGATTTTTTCCCAAAAGGCCAGTGTTCTAAGGCTGTTTATAAAATGCTCCTCTACAACATTAATAAAAAAATTTTTTTAACGTAACTGTACCATCAATCTTCCTAAGTGTTCCTATGGCTGAGCAACAAATCACCTCAAAAACAACATCTGTGTTTCTGGGGTCGGGTATTTGGGAGCAGCCTGGCTGGGCGTGTCTGCCTCAGGGTGTCTCACGAGGGTGCAGCTGGCTCAGCCGGGGCTGCATCACCTGAAGGCTGGACCAGGGCTGAGAACCGCTTCCAAGGAGGTCCGCTCACGTGCCCTCGAGTTGGTGCCAGCGGGGGCCCCGTTTCCTATTCCCAGGGCAGTGTGTTACCGGCACCGCAGCTGGCTTCCCCCAGAGCGAGCAGTCTCAGACACTGCGGCCACAGCCTCAGAAGTCACATACTGTCCTTTCTGCCATATCCCACTGCCCAGGCAGGTGCAACGGTCCACTCAGGTCCAAGGGGAGGGAAAACAAGCCTCACATCTCCCTTGCAACAGAGCAGTGACAAAATCTCGTTTTAAGTGAGACCCCAAAGGATGGGATGTGTTTGGGTGCAACCATCTTTGGGAAATAAATCTGTTATTCTAAGTATCACAAATTATGCACAAAGATGTCGTTTCAAGAATATTCATTATAGCACAGCTTATAGTAACAAAAAATAATGGCTTAAATGTTCACAAATAGTGCCTGGCTTACAGTTTGAAGCCACAATGAAAAGACACCATTTGCAGCAGCCAACATAAAACAAACCAAAGGTAAAAAAACTAACAATAATGACAACTGCAGTGTACACATAACACGAAAAGCCCAAAGCCCATGTGGGAAAAACTTAACGATGTTCCTGAAAGATACAAACATACCTTAACAAATGGAAAGATATATCATGTTCTTGGATAGAAAAAAGAAATGTCACATAGATGTTAGTTCTAAGTAATTTATAAATGTAATGTGCTCCCAATAAAAATATCACAGGGTCCCCTTCCCCATCTTCAAGTCAGACAAGTCAATTGTGAAATTTATTATAAATATAAATAAATATTGAATTCTAGTTAATGACAGACACACTGAAGCATCTAAAGAGCAGTGTGCTGATGCAATTTACTTGGACATATATAAAAAAATAACAGAGCTAAATGAATGTAAGAAGGACAGATATGTGAAAGAAGTATAGTAAAGAGTAAATGGTAAAATAATATGGAAAAAAAATGTAATACAGGTGTTCACTGTAAAAGTCACTTCTGCCATGTTTGAAAATGTTTACAATATGGTTAGAAAAACCCTAGAGAAAGTGTGATCATAGGGCATGAAAAGATTATACATTATGAAACAATAACAAATTCAAAAGAGACTCAAATGCATATGGCTCTTTCCGTATATATATAGGTTTAACTACGTGCGGCTGGATCAGTAAGTAGTTACATGGAAAAAGGATTGAAGTGTTTCTTTTCCTTAATCTGCACACCAAAGTAAATTCCAACTGCATCAGAGATACAGAAGTGAAAAGCGAACCATACACATGAGAAAAAATGTGGGTGAATTCTTCTGTAACCAAGGAATGGAAAATGCACTATGAGAGAAGCAATAAGAGGTAAATTGATAAATCTGACTACAAATGACTTAATAAATGTATGTTTTACATGGTAAAAATCACCACAGCGGAGAGGACGCTGACAGTGGGGGAGACTGTGGGAGTGGGTGCAGGGATGTGTGGGGACGGCCGGGACTGTCTGCTCAGTTTTGCCCTGAACCTAAAACTGCTCTAAAAAGGAAACTCCACTTAAAAACAAACACCTGTGTAAAAAAAGGGGCAAAGTCGACAACGCTATGGTACAGGAGGCAAGACAGTTCACAGAAAAACAAAAGCAAATGGCTGTTAAGTATATGAAAAGATGCCCAGTCTTACTCATAACAACATATTAAAAACTAAAGTAAGACACTAGTTCTCAGCTAATGTGACTGACAAAAAATCACAAGTCTGAAGGCCCAGTGGGCCGGTCAGGCCGTGGAGAAGCAGGCGCTCCCATACACTGATGGCATGAATGCCAAGTGGTGTTCGCTCCTGTGGAGGGGAATTGATAATAATCACATATGTATTTGTTGTCTAACCCAACAGTCTTACTTCTGTGAATCTATCCCAAAGATATAGCAATAATATGAAAAGCTTTGGAAAAGGCTGTTTACTGTAGCAATTTTGTAATTCAATTTAATACAGTAAAAGCCTGGAAATCATCCACATGTCCATCAGTGCAGACCTGGCTGAACAAACTCCGGAGTACAGCGGAGCGGCACAAATGAATGAAGACACCTTTACACCCTGCTAAGGAGCAAATCCAGCAAGGGGAAGAGAAGTATGTATGAGGGAACCTCCTCAGTCTGATAAAAGACACCTAAGAAAACCCTACAGCTAACATTATGCTTTACAGTGAAGGAGTACATGTCTTTCCCTAAGATGAGTAAGGTAAGGCTGTAAGTAGGTCTGACGACAACAGAGGAGAAAGAACCTACAGACATTTTGGGAGGCCAGCATTACCCTGACATGGAAAATTAACAAAGATATTACAAGAAAGGAAACTTGAGCTAATGCCGTTCACAAACATACATGCAAACATCCTTAACAAAATCTAAGTAAACTGAATTTAACAATATATAAAGACAACAATGCATCATGACCAAGTGAGGTTTATCCCAGGAATACAAACCTCCTGTTGTATTAGGAGGTTTAACACTGAAAAAGCCATCAGTGTAATGTACCACATTACTGGAAAAGAACAACATGTGATCATCTCATTACATGCAGAAAAAGCATTTGAAGAATTCAAGTTCCTTTCATGATAAAAACTTGCAGTGAACTAGGACTAGAGGGTATGCAGGGCAGAGTTGACCAAGCAAGTTGAGGTTGTTCCAAATCTGCATGTTACAAAAACACTGGCCCTGGACCAGTTCCTGGGAGATAACTTCTAAGCTCTCGGAATAACCTCCCTGATAAAGAGTATTTTTGTATACCTAGGGTCTTGGACCGCACCAGATAGTTCATGCAAAGGGTGTGACTGACGATGGGAGCCTCGGACCAAGCTATGAGCTTGACCTCTGGAGGGACTGGAGACTAAGGTTAGCTACTTGGGCACTCTGTGCATGTGTGATGGACCCCCACTGAAAATTCTGGAAACCAAGGCTTCGGTGAGCTATGCTGGCTGGCGATACACTGTATGTGCTGTCACACATCACACATCACACATGCCCACTGCTGAGAGACTTCAGTGCTGTCTGTCCTGTTTGAGCCATGTAACTGGAAGCTTGCATCTGGTTTCTCCTGGACTTTGCCTTCTGTACCTTTTCCCTTTGCTGATTTTAATCAGTCTCCTTCACTGTAATATACCATAACCATGAGTATAACGGCTGTTCTGAGTTTCATGAATCCTTCTCGCAAATCACTGAACCTAAGGGTACCCTTGGGAATCCCCAGCAGAGAAGGACATTACTTAAGCCTGGTAAAGAGCAGCTACAGAAGACCTACAGCTAACATCACACTTAGTGGTGAGGCATTAAATCCTTGCCCCAATCAGGAACAAGGCTAT